TTCAACTAATATTCCAGTCTTGAAGGTGGTTGAGTGCTTCTTAAAAGGTGTAGGAGGCCAAGCCAAAGGAAGTCAACTTGAAGGCTTTGGTGGTTCCTTAGGGAGTTTGTTCTCTCTTGAAGGAAAGACTATTGAAAACATCTAGAAGTGACCAAGTCAAGGTTGCTTCTAAAAGAGGAGTGAAACACCTTGTGAGATTGCATTTTGGTGGCTGGATTGGAGCAAGAAGGAACCAAATTATTTGTGAAAATTTTTGTGAAAATTTAGAAACTAATTTTAGTGACGCAATTTTTAGTTTCTAAAACTTGTTTTCATTACAAAATCCGTCTCTAAAATTTGTCTCTAATTAGTGGCTAAATTATTTTTCTTTGAAATTAAGTGCAGCCACTAATTTCATTTGAAATTGGTGGAATTGAACAAGGTGAGGGCATTTAGTAGAAAACCAAATGTTGAGCAAGTTCATGTTGAGTTGTTGAAGAAAGTAGAAGTGGGAATGAGAGCATGTGTCTTTTGGTGTTGAGTTGATTAATTTTTAATTTGAGGTCTAATGACTTTCTAATTTAGGTTTTGTAATTAAAATTTATGTAATGTGGTATTCACAGCAGTTTCCATCTCATAGGCAAGTTTGAATTTAAACCATAACAATGGTGGTGAAGTTCACGTTATCCATGACCAAGACATGGATACTTGGTCTTTTTATAAAGAAAAAGGTATATTGGAAGATCTAGGATATGGTGATGATGTAAAATTATGGTAGAAACTAGAGAATGTTACTTTTAGAGGGAAATTGAAACCATTTAAGTATGATAATGATGTTAAAGAGTTGAAAAATCATGCATTGAAGAATAATTGTGAAAAATAGGAATATATGTTGAGCACTCTCAAACAAAAGTTGAGTTGAGTGGTAATATTTGCTACAACAATGAAAAATTGATGTTGTAGGTTTTGTGAATGCCTCACCAAAGTAGAAAATTGTAACAATGAAAAATAAAAGTATCCCAACAAAAAGACCAATTAGGAGTGTAAAAAAATAACAAATATTGGTTGAGGAAATTATTGAGCATGTTGTTGCTAAGGAACCTATTACTACTAAAGAATATGTTGTGGCAAACTTTTATTCATAAAGTTATATTTCTTGTCATAATTTCAATCACGTTTGTTAGTAACTTCTAACTATTTTATAGGATTTTCGTTATCGACATTGCAAAGGGTTTTTAAAAGTATTGGAATTAAAGAACTTTATTATTTTTTGAACGCTTAATTTTGTCTAAAAAGATATTAGTTTTTAAAAAATAATCTTAAACATATTTTTAGCCCCTAAAATTTAAAGTCATTTTGTTCTTGTTAATATTAACAATGTTTTGATTCAAAGTGTTGTACTTAGGTGTGACTTTCAACGGTGTGTAGTGACCAATTACTCTCAACAAACTCACATCACCACATTCGTGTTATGTATTGAAGAATATTTGCATTAGTTAGAAAATTCATGTTGCGTATTTTTGCATTCTCCATTCTTTGTTTCATGACATTTTATTCATGGTATGTAGCTAGCTTACCCTATTATGCTATTAATTTATAATTTGGAGTCTTGTTAATTTTTTAATGTAGGGTTTGATTAATTTTTAATTTGAGGTCTAATGACTTTCTAATTTAGGTTTTGTAATTAAAATTTATGTAATGTGGTATTCACAGCAGTTTCCATCTCATAGGCAAGTTTGAATTTAAACCATAACAATGGTGGTGAAGTTCACGCTATCCATGACCAAGACATGGATACTTGGTCTTTTTATAAAGAAAAAGGTATATTGGA